AAGTTTCCCCGTTTAGGATGAGGTGCACAACGAAAATGTGTTATATTTCTCACATCCCATTGTCTTACGCCTAACATATCATGCATTATGTGTTTGAAAGCGAATTATAATTCTTATAATATTAGACAAAATGCGAGACAAAGACAATGAATATACGGAGAGAGAGAGAGAGAGAGAGAGATGTTAAGCATATAATGACTTATGAATATTTCATAGTTATTTTAAGGGCAAAGAAAATATATTTATATATGAGTTATCTTAAAACCATAACTAAAATATTTTATAAATCTTTGGGAGTATTCTAAGGAAGAAAGGGATGAAAAGAGTGAGAGAAGAGATGGCGAGTGAATGAGAGGACAGATAAGGGAAAGAATGAGTCAAACAATTGATTCGGAGATCAGTTGTAAGTGAATGGCGTCGAGAAGTCGGCCAAATGTTTTGCTTCAATAATATTGGAAATGAAGTGAAAACACATTTTTGTGTCGCTATTCCTCCGCAAAACCAGTCGTCGTCTCATTTGTATGACTCGATTATCGCACTCTTATTGTCGGCAAACGATTTCGCATTAAATAACTCTCTGTTTTTTATGTGCCAAACATTTTCATATCAAACACATATTAATTGTAATTGTGTTGTATATACTGTAAATGTTTGGTTATTAAATTATATTTGAGTATAAAACAATAACATTTATATCTATACATGTGTGCAAAGAATATTCTATATATAAGTAACAAATATAATTATTCGAGCAAATATTGATATTAAAGGATATTCTGTTATAATTTAATTATTGTGTTCACTCCTGTCTAAACATATTTATATTGTTTTCAAACTCGTTTCAAATGCCATCATTTAATGGAGTTTATAATTAATATACACTTCTCTTCTTGAAAAAGCGTTTTTAAACATAGAGATAGAGTTTATAATTAAATTGTATTCAGAAATACATTTTTGTTTTAGCAAAACCCTATCATCTATTCATAAAGTTTCCCCGTTTAGGATGAGGTGCACAACGAAAATGTGTTATATTTCTCACATCCCATTGTCTTACGCCTAACATATCATGCATTATGTGTTTGAAAGCGAATTATAATTCTTATAATATTAGACAAAATGCGAGACAAAGACAATGAATATACGGAGAGAGAGAGAGAGAGAGAGAGAGAAAGAGAGAGAGAGACGGAAGAGTGGATGAGAAAGTCGACAAATATCTCCATTAAAATCTTATGTCAGTCTCAGTGAAGTGTAACGCAAAAGACGACAAAAAATAATATACAGACTTTTACTTCATATTTGTTAGTTGGATGTCGTTGTCCGGGAATTGACAGTAACTTATATTTTAAGCACTGCTTAATACTATTGGTATTAAATGCCTCTTAAAAATAAATCTTATGAAATGAAACTCAAATATAAATGTAATGAATGTATTGATTATATTATGGTATAAAATACATCCTTATATGAAAATGTATATCTTTTTTACATCCAATTTAAGCGTGAAATATATACTTAAAGGCTTTAAACAAAAACATGGTATAAATATCAGTGCCTTGATTTTAATTTTTATTCACATTTTATAAATAACTATAATTTTAATACTTATTCTCTATTAAAGTATACAATTTATGCTAATATATGACATAAATTATATGATAACATAATATTCTCTATCTTTTGCAGACAATGTATTGAAAAACAAATTATAAAAGAGAAAAGTTTTTAATGAAATTAAATCTTTAGATGATTTAATCTAATGTTTGCTATAAATTATTTAAAACGTAAAACTAGTCTATTGTTTGTTTTTTTTGGGATTTAAATGTGATATTACAATGAAATGTAAGAATAAATCGAAATAATAGATGTTTTTAAACGAAAAGATCATTATTTGTAAATCAAGTGATGGAAACATTTTATACTTATTGAGGAAAATAAAAAATGATATTTTTGTTGAACATAAGACTTATTGATAGTGAGACGGAAAGTCCGAATCCTTTATATATTTTGCACTGATTTAGTATGTGATAAAAACTAAACAAAATAGTATTAAACAGTTATAGACATAAAAATATAGTTTGTCTCACAATAAGCGATACCATCTTTTTGTGTATATTGATATTTTGCACACAAAACATATACAAAACTATACATTACTTTCTCGATATATCGAAATGAAAAATACAAGTTTTATGAAAAATAATATTTCCTTTCCGTTCAGTGAAATGTTTCGTGTGATTGAGAACTGATTTCTCTTTTGATATAATAGTGAGTGAGTGAGAGGGAGGGAGGGAGAGAGAGAGAGAGAGAGAGAGAGAGAGAGAGAGAGATGTATGACCCAGGGAGAAATATTTATAATGAAATACTCTGTGGGAGAATTTTACAGACTGATTAATACATAGGAATAAATAATGAACAAGGTGGGTGTCAGTTGGCTTTGTATTCACTCAGTTGTCTTGTGCTCATTCCCAGCCATATTAATTATCATATATGGAATTATCAAGGTCATTATACCTCTCTTGATTTTCACAGGGAAAATTATTATGTTGTAAAATATTTGCACAAAATTTTATTATATTTTTACCTTTATGTACCACAACTATAAAATAATAATAGTAACTTTCAAACATAATATTAGTGCAATGTAGCTTATTGCAATAATGCCTATTTTACACATCCAACACCTGGATGATGGCGGACTTAGGACCTGGTTTACAGAGAATCGTACATCGTTATTTATAACAAAAATAAATAATATAATAACATAGATTATCATAATAATTACGCTAACCTAAATTAAAGTTTTAAGTTTATTTTGTCATAATTAACTAACACCAAATTAAAATGCATAACAATTATAAATGTAATAACAATAATTAAATTACAATATACACTGTATAATACATATTATGCTCGTTTTTGTTGCATGTTATGGCACTTATAGGCCCGGGCTTTGGCCTATTCCACGACTTCGACGACATGGACATCGACGACATGTTTGGTTTGGGCGGACCGTCTGGTCGGGGCGGCGGCGGCGGAGGCAACGCTTTCCGGTCGCAATCATTTCACGGCAGCTCTCCATCCCATGGCTTGGGTGGCGGCGGCAAAGGGGGCGGACTCGGAGGGCCCGTACGTCAGGACCCGCCCATAGAGCACGACCTGTTCCTCACGTTAGAGGAGGTGCTCAGGGGTTGTGTGAAACGGATGAAAATCACCCGACGTGTGCCCAACCCGGACGGCAAGGGTAGCCAGAAAAAGGAGGACAAAGTGTTGACGATCAATGTGCGACCCGGGTGGAAAGCGGGCACCAAGGTGACTTTCCAGCGCGAAGGCGACCATAATAGCTCCACCATACCGGCCGATATTGTGTTTATGATCAAGGACAAACCGCACCCGGTGTTTAAGCGCGATGGCGTGGACCTGAAATACACGGCCAAAGTGTCCCTAAAAGAGGTTTGAGTTTGAGATTTAATATAACTATACTAATTATAATTACTATTAGTATTACTATTAATATAAGTTTGTTATATCCGGTTGTTATCTGTTTTGTTTATTTTTTAAAAATTAATTTATTGTTAAGTTTCATTAATTATTTTTTTGGTTGATTCCCATTAGGCTCTGTGCGGCTGCAAAGTGAACGTCCCGACCCTATCGGGTGAGTTGATACCGCTGCGCCTATCGGAAGTGGTCAGACCAACCACTCAGCGCCGTATACCCGGCCACGGGCTGCCCCACGCCAAGGACACCGCCAAACGGGGCGATATTGTGGTCACGTTTGATATCAAGTTTCCCGATTCGCTGAACGAGCCCACCCGGCAAATACTCTGGGACTGTTTGCCCTAGNTTAATCCAATTTATCTCTAATTATAGCCGAATGACAGCTCAGTGTTCAGTCATTTCCACATCGCTTTGCGTTTATTGTATCCATTACTCTCTCTCTCTCCATAGGATTATAATTGTCTGTCGTTTTGAATGCTAATCACAATTAAAAATATTTGTGTTTTTTTTTGCAAATCATTTAAATTCATTGCACTATTTTTAATCTACTTTTTAAGTCTGTATAAAATATTGTTTGGGATTACATTGTATTTATGCGAGAGAGAGAGAGAGAGAGAGGGATTGTTTCGGAAATAAAAACAATTTTTACTCCACTTAACAGTAAATTAGTGTTTATTATGCATGAAAATACACTATTGATATACATTAAGTACATTATATAAATATAACCCGTTTGGCGCTATTAAATGAGTGAAATCATGTTTTGTTAATTTACAAAGTTGTTTGTGTATCACTTAAATTTACCAGTAATTCGCTAACATTTTAGCTAAAATGTTTGCTCATCATTAAAATAAAGTACTTATGATGCATAATAATAAATACACAACGACTGGATGTAATGCAAATAATATACATAAAAACATTATTATTTGTGCATAAATGAAATCATTTGAAAAATAACCATTCTAGTCTGGGTCTATTAACATGGTAAATAATAAACAATAAATATTTGCGCCACTATTGCAATAGTATTTAAATAAATAAATTTAAATTTCATGTTTCTCATAATTTTCAGACAGTTTTAAGTGTTTGTATTATTAATATTTATATTACATTAATGTTTTTCCAATTCACTTGACTTATAACTAGTTAAATATTATTTCAATGGTAGACTATTATCATTGCGTGCATACGCTATATATGGTTAGAAACAATTACAAAGATGTTTAATGTTTATATCGAGTCATTACATTATTAAACACTACGGTTTGGCAATAAAAATAAGGTGAAATCAGTGATGATGATCAGATACCAGGCATACGGTAGTCACTAAATAACTCGTGCACTTAAATATGTGTTACATTAATTGTTTATCACGGTCAGTTAATGCGCTAATTACAATTGATCTGTAACAATTTTTGATTAATATATCAGAGTTCTAAGTGAATGTGTGTTAACCCGTTTACCGATTAAAAATCTAGTTTATTTTGTATTATACAATATTTTACAGACCACGGGGTATAGTATATGAAAAGGTACTTTATTTTAAATAGTGTACTGAACTGTTAGCAACCCCACAAAAAAATCCAGTGTGGGCATAATGTGATAAATTACCATCACAATTATATTGTAGCATTTAATGTAGCACTTTATATATTCCGACACACTTTATCTATGTTAACAAAATAAATCTTTTTGTTAAGATTTTTATTCTGTAAAAAATATTTTTACATTTATTTTATTTTGTATGAAAAATGAGAAGTTCATTGTATAGAATAGACAGTATAATAAACTCTATAATTAATTCCATATATAACTCGTTGAATGTCAGGTATTTTTTATATGTAATTCAATTCAATGTATTTTAAATTAATATGTATTTTATTTTTCACTACAATATTATGTGTACAGTATTTGTATGTATAATGTAGTGAATGGCAGACAACAACAGGTGAACGCAGTTTTTGATATTTAATATAAACATTCAGTATATAATTGTTGAAACAAAAAAGTTTTATAAAAATCATGAATGTCGTGATTTAAACACATTTTGGTTATTTAATGAGAGAGAGAGAGAGAGAGAGAGAGAGAGAGTCTACGACAATTTCACGAAATTAACAACAAGTTATAAATATTTTAAAAGTATTAATTTAAATTACAAGCCAACAAAACAATGGCACAGTTAGCTTTCATAAACTTTTCATTTTATTTTACCACATATAAAAACATTTGATTGTAGCTGTATTTGATTGTAAAATAATTACATAGTTTAGGTATTTGGTCACGCAATCAATCGATTGTGTTTTGATAAATAAATAAATTATTTGTTTTATTGAATATATAAATCAATACTTTCTCTAAACAATATAAACTCTCTCTCTCTCTCTCTCTCTCTCTAACTTTCCATCTCTTTGTTAATGACTTTACGTGTCATTGACTTTAAAAATAGAGATTTAAAAATTGAAAAACCATTTTTACAATTGCGTTGAAAAGTGTAATAAAAATATATTTTACTACTTTCTGTCTCTACTTATCTATCGATTGATTTTTAAAATTGAAAATCTTATATAAAATTGAGAATATTTCAAAATTTTATCAAATATTAAATTTTCATAACTATATGCTCTCTCTCTCTCTCTCTCTCTCTCCATTGAAAATTCATGAAACACAGGGGATAGGCATGTGCTCTGCCGATCGCACAGCACTTTCTCGGCCCACATATTGTCCTCCAAACGACACATCATTACAAACACTGAATATAAGCTCAAAACTACATCTTTTTCGTCAAACATTTTTTGCAAAACACAACGAATTTTTTCACTTTAAAAAAATCTATAAATAAATTCATAGTAAAAATACTCGTATTTCTGATGCAAAAACTTTTTGAACCAAAAAATACTACAAAATTTTCAGTTTGTATGCATTTTTGGCAATCAATCTTATAGTTAAGATATATCTCTATAGAAATGATTTGTATAAATCTATAATGACTTTACTGTCAGTCGCTTTGAACTCTCTCTCTCTCTCTCTCTCTCTCTCT